GATCTTGGACGCAAACCCAGCTTTCTGACACTGGGCCCTACAGTGCGACCCAAAATCCTTTGGTAATCCTCAGATTTCATGATGCCTTGCACACAGTCAAGGCACCCAGTGCCAGAGGCAGCAAAACAACCCCAAAACATCATTGAACCTCCACCATATTTTACCGTAGGTACTGTGTTTTGTTCTTTGTAGGCCTCATTCCGTTTTCGGTAAACAGTAGAATGATGTGCTTTACCGAAAAGCTCTATCTTGGTCTCATCTGTCCACAAGACGTTTTCCCAGAAGGCTTTTGGCTTACTCAAGTACATTTTGGCAAACTGTAGTCTTGCTTTTTTATATGTCTCTGTGTCAGCAGTGGGGTCCTCCTGGGTCTCCTGCCATAGCGTTTCATTTCATTTAAATGTCGACGGATAGTTCGCGCTGACACCGATGCTCCCTGAGCCTGCAGGACAGCTTGAATGTCTTTGGAACATGTTTGGGGCTGCTTATCCACCATCCGGACTATTCTGCGTTGCAATCTTTCATCAATTTTCCTCATCCGTCCACGACCAGGGAGATTAGCTACAGTGCCATGGGTTGCAAACTTCTTGATAATGTTGCGCACTGTGGACAAAGGCAAATCTAGTTCTCTGGAGATGGACTTGTAACCTTGAGATTGTTGATATTTTGCCACAATTTTGGTTCTCAGGTCCTCAGACAGTTCTCGTCTCCTCTTTCTGTTGTCCATGCTTAGTGTGGCACAGACAGACACACAATGCAAAGGTTAAGTGAACGTCTCTCCTTTTTATCTGCTTTCAGGTGTGATTTCTATATTGCCCACACCTGTTACTTGCCCCAGGTGAGTTTACAGGAGCATCACATGCTTGTAACATTCTTATTTATCCGCAGTTGTGAAAGGGTGCCAATACTTTTGTCCAGCCCATTTTTGGAGGTTTGTGTGACATTATGTCGAATTTGCTTTCTTTCCTCCCTTTTTTTGTTTTGTCCCAATACACACAAAGGGAATAAACATGTGTATAGCAAAACATGTGTTAATGCAATACGTTTCGTGAGAAATACATGATTTCCTGGAGAAATATCAAGGGTGCCAACAATTTCGGCCATGACTGTATATATATATATATATATATATATATATATATAAATAAAATCTCTATCTGTATGGGGGTGGGAGGGTCCAATTTTTATTTTGTACTTTTTTCTACTTTCATGTATTTTTTTAACTTATGATTTTATTGCAATCAAATAGGGAGGCAATAGTCACATAGGGGTGATAGCATATGAGTGACAGGTCCTCTTTGTAGGGGGGAGGGGATGGGGAGCAGTGTGTGCAAGGAGGGGGCAGGAGAGTAGTGTATACAGTGAGGGAGCAGTGTATACAGAGAGGCTCCCTCACTGGCTGTCACTATATGTCGGTGTGCCGGTTTTTAAATGCAATTGCCGGCTTTTTTTTTTTCTCTTTACTATAGCTCACAGAATTAGCTGTCACTTTCCCTGGAGCTAAAGGCAACTGTTTCTTTTAGCTCGGGGTAAGAAACTAAAAGGAAACTTTGTTTCTTTTAGCTTTGGGGAAAGTAACAGCTAATTCTGTGAGCTATAGTGAAGAAAAAAAAAAAAAAAAGCCAATCATTACATTTAAAAACCAGCACTGACATATAGTGATGGTTAGTCACTGTATACACTGCTCCTCTCCTGCCTTTCACAGCCATCGCCCTGGTGGCCGAAATTTCAGTGCATCCCTAGCCTATTGAAAACGTTATTTTTTGCCACACGTTTTTTAGAAATTGCGGAAAGGTGAACATGTATTTGTTTTCTCACAAAGCAGTCAATCAGATAATTTTTACCACGCAGCATGGGCATACTTAGAATTCAAAGTGTAAATGTTGTGTTGTCCCTTTTAAATCACAATCATATACCAACCAATCACAATCATACACCAACCATGCATAATCAACAGTTAAACATACGTAATCCACAATGTGACAAAATATAAATCCAATTAGTGCTAAAAACAACCAAAAGGGACCAAAAAAAGTCCAAAAAGATGGTTAATCAAAACAGTCTCTCCGCAGTGTAATCCCTTCTGTGTTCCACCACCAAGGCACACTTTCACTGCTTACCACATGGCTGGACCTCTAGTATCAGGAGGCTCCATGCACACTAGCATTTTTTAAGCTCCGAGAAACTGTTATCAGCATTTTTTTTTTCTGCACCTAGAAGCTAAATAGTGTAATCCTATGTGTCCATGCACACTTTTGTAGGCTAGTAGCATTTTTCAAACTTCAGCGTTTAGGATGAAAAAAAAGTGTTTTTGTAGAGTTGTTGGGAGCGTTTTTCTGGCAGAAAAAAAGATGCAAAACACTGCTAACAGATTTTTTTTTCTAGCTTTTCCCTACATGTACTGTAAAATCGCTAATAAAACACGAACGCTGCTAAACGCTACTAAAAACAGCTATTAGCATTTTTTGATTAAAGAAAAAATAAAAAATGCTAGTGTGTATTGAGCCTAATAGTGCATGCATGTTTCAGGACAGGTCATCAAAAAACACTCAATGCTGCAAGAGGTTTCAGCCAGATTAGGCAGCAACCAATGTAGAACAACAAAGATACTTCATGGTGTAGTAGTTACAATATCTGCCTTTTATAACCGCTTCCCGACTGCCCGCCAACAATATACAGCGGACAGGCGGTAGCTGCAGTCAAAGCGACGTATCCGTACATCGCTTTGCTCTTCTGGGTTTAGAGCGCGCACACACCAAGACATTCGTTGTAGGAGGTGAGTGTCAGCAGGTCTCGGCCAGTGATTTTGGCCGAGATTCTGCAGATCTCCAACAGCGAACAAAGATGCAGAGCTGTGCCTGTATTTGTAAATACAGGCACAGAACCTAGCTGGTTCTTCTCTCTCCCTGGAACCATTTTGTTCCTGGGAGAGAAGAAAGACATCACACGTGAGTAAAAGCAGCACACTCCACCCACACAGGTTAGATAGACACATTTTAACCCCTTGATTGCTACATTTAACCCTTTGATTGCCCCCTGCCAGTGCCATTAGTACAGTGTCTGTTGTACAGTATTTTTCACTGATCACGGTGTTAATGCCACTGGCGATGTCAGATAGAGTCAGGGTCAGTTAGCGTCCCACCCAGCCAGGGTCAGCTAGCGTTAGAGTATCCGCACACTATAGGTCGCTGATTACCATCATTACTAGTATAGTGTTTATATGGATCAATACATTGATCACGAACAAAACTATACCAGTGTCCCCTTAGTATTAGTGTCCCCAAAAGCGCAGTGTTAGCAGGATCATCCCCATTCCCTAAAAAAACACAAAAAAGGCAGACTTATATCAAATATAAACAAGTGAATAAATAATAAAATAATGCTTATAAATCAAGGTGACACACGAATGGTACAAATGCAGCCAAGACACTATTGACAAACATAAAGGTGACTATTAATACATAGCAATAAACGTGCCCCCCTCACTCCCACTCTGTAACGTGACCAGAGGGTAAAAATATTCCAGGTGGGTATGCGCAGTTCATAAATGGTAAGTGATGGTGTTCAAAAATTCATGCATTGTGCGTGATCACACAACTTCCAGTGCTGGTGAGTGACTCCTCCTATAGCTGAATTGCCTCCTCACCTCCACTCTGCGGCCCAATGCGCCTTCAAGATCACTAAGGATTTTCTTCCAATACTGACAGGTAAGCTCCTCCAGATCTCTCATCACATGGGGATGATACACTATATCCTGATGAAGTCACGCGAACGGTGACATAACGCGTAGATACGCAAGGAGGCAGCATCCGGACAGCGGTGACGTACTTCCAGTACAGCCGCCATCTTAGTCCACCCAGAAAATAGGCACTTTTTACCCATGCAATACACCCATGCTTGAGGGGAGAACCGTGCAATATGACATCTGAAATGTAAGTGCCAGTTTTTGTTACAAATAAAGCACTTTTACTTTGGCATACTACACTATCTCCTTATATTTGCATTATCTGGATGAGTGGTGTACCCAGCGGAGATCAGGAGCCAGGACATCTAGTGTATCATCCCCATGTGATGAGAGGTCTGGAGGAGCTTACCTGTCAGTATTGAAGGAAGATCCTTAGTGATCTTGAAGGCACATTTGCCCATTGGGCCGCAGAGTGGAGGTGAGGAGGCAATTCAGCCATAGGAGGAGAGTCCCTCACCAGCACTGAAAGTTTTGTGTGATCACGCACAATGCATGAATTTTTACTGTGTTGAACACCATCACTTACCATTTATGAACTGCGCATACCCACCTGGAATATTTTTACCCACTGGTCACGTTACAGAGTGGGAGTGAGGGGGGCACGTTTATTGCTATGTATTAATAGTCACCTTTATATTTGTCAATAGTGTCCTGGCTGCATTTGTACCATTCGTGTGTCACCTTGATTTATAAGCATTATTTTATTTATTCACTTGTTTCACTTGATACAAGTCTGCGATTGAGCGCTGCACTACCATTTTTTGTGTTTTTTAGTTCTACTGTATGGTATCAGTCTGAGTGCCAGCCGCTTATAACGATAGGCACTCCATTAAGCGCAGGAGGATTTTTTCATATTCATCCCCATTCCCTGCCAGCACTAGCATTTAGCCCCAACGCCCCCCCCCCCCCCACCCTTAACAAGAAGTGCAGTGTCAGTATAATTTCTGATCACTGTCACCTGTAATACATTGTACACAAAATCGCAGTGTCCACAGAATCAGGCCTGATCTCTGCCAGCACTAGCAGGTGAATTTTATTGGTAGCGGTTCAAGCAGTCCCTGACAGCTCCTTTTCCAGCGAGTCGAACTAGGTACCTGTACATTTAGAGTCCAAAATGTCCAACTAAAGGTACACTAGTGAAGAGGCCTATAGGATTCTGAGGATATCAAAAGAGAGCGAAGGGGAAGCTTCTCTGACAGAATCTGCCTCAGAATATGAACCTGTAGACAGCAGCAGCACCCCGACAGGTAGCTCGGACGATGGAGAAGAGGTCCCTGTTCAGGTATACCCGACCCCATGAAGCTGAAGTGCTAGGATCGCATGACTTGTCGCATATGCAGCAGAGTGCCCGTACCAGTGCAATACTACCTTTAGGTGAACTGGCGAGTACCAGCCGCCTAGTATATCCTGGTCTTTTTTATACCAGTTTTGCAGTATCACTTGGTGACGTGGCGAGTCCAAAAAGTGCAGTACAATTTGGTGCAGCGGTGAGCACAAGTAGTGTCCCACAGTCACCAAGAATTCGCACACAGGCCCACAGAGCCCCTATTGTCCTTCCGGACATGCTTGCAAATCCTGATTGGCAGCCCATAGATACCAGTGCAATACTACCTTTTGGTGAACTGGCGAGCACCAGCGGCCTAGTATATCCTGGTCTTTTTTATACCAGTATTGCAGTATCACTTGGTGACGTGGAGAGTCCCAAAAGTGCAGTACAATTTGGTGCAGCGGTGAGCACAAGTAGTGTCCCACAGTCACCAAGAATTCGCACACAGGCCCATAGAGCCCCTAGTGTCCTTCCGGACATGCTTGCAAATCCTGATTGGCAGCCCATAGATTCTGCAGCTCCCATACATCCCCCATTCACTGCCCAACAAAGAATTCAGGTGGAAACAGCAAATTTAACTCCCCTTGATTTTATGGAGCCGTTTCTCACAGAAGATTTGTACAATTTGATTGTGGGCCAAAGCAATTTATATGCTGAACAATATATCGCTGCAAATCCAAATTCAAACCTTGCCTGACCATTTGCATGGAAACCTACTACGGTTTCCGAATTTAAAACTTTATAATGCACTCAACATGGGCATTATAAAAAAGAATGAGTTGCAGTCGTATTGGTCCACAGACCCAATACATCATACACCTGTGTTCTCTGCTGCCATGGCCAGGCATAGATATGAGACGATACTGCGCTTCATGCATTTCACACACTGTCGTCCTCTGGGTGACCCTGAACATAACAGGCTCTACAAAATTTGGCGCCTCATAAACCACCTCACTGAGAAATTTGCAGATTTGTATACGCCCCAGAAAAGCATCTGCGTGGATGAGTCCCTCATTCACTTTACTAGCCACCTTGTATTCAAACAGTACATCCCCAGCAAGCGTGCCAGATATGGGGTCAAATTGTATAAGCTCTGTGAGAGGGCCACTGGCTATAAGTACAAGTTTAAGGTTTATGAGGGAAGAGATAGCGAAGTAGAGCCCCCCAACTGCCCAGACTACATGGGGAGAAGTGGCAAAATAGTTTGGAACTTTGTCGTCTTTGCTCCGTAAGGGTAACCATTTACACGTAGACAATTTCTATACAAGCATGCCATTATTTAGACATTTGTACAATCTTGGAATTGGCTCATGTGGCACCGTGCGGCCTAATCGCCAGGCCGTCCCCCAACAGCTTGTAAATAAAAGACTTAGAAAAGGGGAGAAAGCCTGCCCGAGGAATGATGAATTGCTCACAGTGAAGTGGAAGGACAAACGGGATGTTTTTGTCCTGTCTTCCATTCCCGCAGACGCGACAGCCCAAATTAACACGGTATCTGGCGTTGTTGAGAAACCCCTCTGTGTCCGCGACTTTAACCATAACATGGGAGGGATGGACCTCAATGACCAAATGATGAATCCATACCTAGTTTCCCAGAAAGCTCGGCACTGGTACAAAAAGGTGTCTACTTACTTATTTCAATTGGAGATATATATATAGACACACACACACACACACACACACTTATATAAAACGCTTTTGTAATTTACAAAGCAACTGGATGAAGAGGATCCTTCCTAAAATTTCAGGAAGAGATCAACACGGCCCTTTTGTATTCAGAAGGTGCTGTGGCCCAATCCTCAAATCCAGATGCGGTTAGTGTGCTGCATGAGAGGCATTTTCCAGATGTCCTCTCTGGTACCCTACCCAAAGGTCACCCCAAAGAAGATGTGTTTGTAGCAGACACGGAATGATACGCGAAACCTGCTATTTTTGTCCCTCCTGTCCTAGCCAAACTGGTCTCTGCCTCAAGGACTGCTTCCATCACTACCATACACTAGTGGAGTATTAGTATAGATTAAAGCAAGTTATACCAGGATGATGCTAGCAGCTGCAAGCATCATCCTGGTATTTTTTTTTCAGCCGGTGATGGGCTTTCATGTAAAAGCACCATTTGTAAATTGGGAAAGCATCTGATCACACCAATCTTGGCGAGATTAGATAATGTAAGGGCAGACAGACCCCAGATTTCTGAAAAAAGAATATATGTCAATGCCCATTGAAGTTATAGGGGATATTTGCATTTCCTCGGATAGCAAAAAAAAAAAAAAAAAAAAAAAAAGGCATTCTCACACCCCCCCCCCCACCCCTTCTCACCTGCGTTTATGAGCATTGAGCCCATGCTGGGCGTTTGCACCATGCATGTGAGTTATCGCTGCAAACGTCAGATCAAGGGCAGTAATTCTAGCACTAGACCTCTTCTGTAAATCTAAAATGGAAGCTTATAAAGGCTTTTAAATTGTTGCCTATGCATATTAAAAATGTATGGTTTGGTATCCATTTACTCGGTATACCATCATCTTTTAAAGTTTACTAAATAATTGGCCAATATATTGTGATTTTATGCATTAAAAGTGAAAAAAAAGTGTATTTTTTTTATAAAAAATTTGTGTTTGAAAAATCGCTGTGTGAGTACTATGTGACATAAAAAATTGCAGCACCCACCATTTTATTCACTAGGGTGTCTGCTTTAAAAATATATATAATGTGTGGGGGTTCAAAGTAATTTCCTAGCAAAAAATACTGATTTTTTTTCAAGTGAACAAAAAGTGTCAGAAAAGGCTTGATCTTCAGGTGGTTAGAAGAACGAGTGGTGTGTGGCATAAACTTCTAATGCTGGGCATAAAATGCCCCCCGTCATCCAAATGACCCCTTTTTGGAAAGTAGACACCTCAAACTATTTGCTCAGAGGTATGTTGAGTCAATGGATTTATTAAATATTAATATAAATATTAATTTCTTTTTTAACCACAAGTTTTTGAAAAATTACAAAACAAAATTGTCACTTAAATGATTTATTGCTCACACATGCCATGGGTATAGGTGGAATTACTCCCCAAAATACATTCTGCTACTTCTCCCGAGTATGGGGGGTACCACATGAGAGACGTTTTGGCAGTCTAGCCAAGTACAGGACCCCAAAATCCATAACCACCACCTTCAGGCTTTTAAAGGGCTTTATTTCCTCATTACATTTCCTGAGTACCTATCACAGTTTCGGAGGCCCTGAAATGTCAGGATAGCACCAACCCCCCCCCCCCCCCCCCATTTGGAAAGTAGACACCCCAAGGAATTTCATAAGAAGCATGGTGAGTATTTAGCAGATTTCCTTTGTTGCCACAAGTTTTTGGAAAATGCAGAAAGAAAACAAAAACGTTTTCTTTTTTTATATTTCAAAACCTTGTGAGAAAAAAAATGAGATCTGCAAAATACTCACCATGCCTCTTTTTAAACTCCTTGGGGTGTCTACTTTACAAAAAGAGGTCATTTGGAGGAGTTCGGTACTATAATGGCATTTCAGGGCCACCAAAACTAGTAGTGAGGAAGTGAAATGAGGAAGTTACGCACGTTCAGGCTTTAAAAGTGGTCATTGGATTTAAGGCTCCTGTATGTTAAATAGTTTGGCTGAAAAAAGACAAAAGTCCATCCAGTTCAACCATAAAAAAAAAAAAAAAAGTTATAATCCTGTAGCCACAGTTGATCCAGAGGAAGGCAAAAAAAACCCAGCAAAGCATGATCCAATTTGCTCCAGCTGGGAAAAAAAAAATCCTTTCCGATCCCCCGAGAGATAATCAGATATTCCCTGGATCAACTTTACCTATAAAAGGTTAGTATTCAGTTATATTCTGTGTATCTAAGAAAGAATCCAGGACTCTTTTGAAGCAATCCACTGAGCTGGCCAGAACCAACTCTTGAGGGAGTCTATTCCACATTTTCACAGCTCTCACTGTGAAGAAACCTTTCCGTGTTTGGAGATTGAATCTCTTTTCCTCCAGACGTAAAGAGTGCCCCCTTGTCCTCTGTGATAACCTCAGGGTGAATAACTCTACACCGAGTTCACTATATGAACCACTGATATATTTATACATGTTGATCATATTCCCCCTTACTCTCCTCTTCTCAAGAAAGAATAAATTCAGTTCCTCTAATCTCTCCTCATAGCTGAGCTCCTCCATGCCTCTTATCAGTTTGGTTGCCCTTCTCTGTACTTTCTCCAGTTCCCCAATGTTCTTTTTGTGAACTGGTGCCCAAAACTGAACTGCATATTCCAGATGAGGTCTTACTAATGATTTGTACCGGGGTAATATGATATCTTTCTCTCTGGAGTCTATACCTCTTAATACAAGAAAGGATTTTGCTCGCTTTAGAAACCCGCAGCTTGGCATTGCATTCCATTATTAAGCTTGTGATCTACCAGAACCCCCAGATCCTTCACCATTGATTCCCCCTGTTGTACCCCCCCCCCAGTATGTATGATGCGTGATTATGCTTAGCCAAGTGCACAACCTTACATTTATCCACATTAAACCTCATTTACCACATAGTTGCCCAATTACACAGAGCATTGAGATCAGCTTGTAAAATTGAAGACATTCTGTAAAGGACGTTATTCCACTGCACAGCTTGGTGTCATCTGCAAAGACTGAAATGGGATTTTTAATCCCAGACCCTATATTGTTTATAAATATATTAAAAAGTAACGGTCTCAACACTTAACCTTGGGGTACACCACTGACAACCCTAGACCATTCAGAGTATGGATCATTAATCACTACTTTTTGAATACGATCTTTTAGCCAGTTTTCTATCCATTTACATACGGATTTTTCCAAGCCTGTAGATTTTACCTTACACATTAGCCGTGTGTGGGGCACTGTGTCAAACGATTTTGCAAAATCCAAGTATACCACGTCCGCCACCCCTCTGTCCAAGAATTTGCTCACCCACTCAAAAAGAAATCAGATTTGTTTGACAACTTCTGTCTTTCATGAATCCATGCTGTCTGTTGCTTAAAATATTTTTTTTCCCACAAGAACACATCTATGTGGTCTTTTATTAAACTCTCCAGTATCTTCCCAACGATAGAAGTTAAACTAACAGGTCTATAATTACTTGGTAAAGATTTTGACCCCTTTTTAAATATTGGCACCACATTGGCCTTACGCCTTACGCCAATCCAGTGGTACTATGCCAGTCATTAAACAGTCCCTAGAAATTAGAAACAATGGCTTTGAAATGATAGAGTTCAATTCTTTAATGACCCGTGGGTGTATGCCATCCAGTCCAGGTGCTTTATTCACCTTTATACTATCTAAATAATTTTGGATCATATCAATTGTGAGCCAATGTGGATCATCTGGAGCTGTGCCAATACCATGCCCATTATGGACAAGAGCTCCCCATGCTTCTTTGAACACAGAGCTGAAGAAGGTATTTAATAAATTTGCCTTCTCTTTGTCCCCAGTCACCCACTCTAGATTATTTTGTAAAGGGCCTACATGCTCAGATCGGACCTTTTTACTATTAATATATTTGAAGACTTTTTGGG